ATATATATATTTATATTTTTTTTTTTTATTTTTATTATATTATTGTGTGTGTGTGTATATATATATATATATATATATATATATATATATATATATATATATATATATATATATATATATATATATATACATACAGTTGAAGTCAGAATTATAAGCCCCCAGAATTTTTAGACCGCTTGTTTATTTTTTCCCCAATTTCTGTTTCAACACATTTTGCACCAATGTACAAAGCAATTTTTTTTTCAACACATTTCTAATCATAATAGTTTTAATAACTCATTTTTAATAACTGATTTATTTTATCTTTGCCATGATGACTGTAAATAATTTTTGACTAGATATTAATCAAGACACTTCTATACAGCTTAAAGTGACATTTAAAGGCTTAACTAGGTTAACTAGGTTAATTAGGCAGGTTAGAGTATTTAGGCAAGTTATTGTATAACGATGGTTTGTTCTGTAGATTATCGAGAAAAAATATAGCTTAATGGGGCTAATAATTTTGTTCCTAAAATTGTGTTTAAAAAATGTAAAACTGCTTTTAATCTTGCCAAAATAAAACAAAAGAGACTTTCTCCTGAAGAAAAAATATTATCAGACATACTGTGAAAATGTCCTTGCTCTGTTAAACATTATTTGGAAAATATTTAAAAAAGAAGAAATAAAATTGAAGGGGGCTAATAATTCTGACTTCAACTGTATATATATATATTATACACATTTAAATAGCTATTTATGTATTATATATACCTAACAAAGTATTAAATATGAAACAATAGTGGTGTCTAGCACAAAACAATTTTATTGTAGAAAAGCACCCTGCATTGTAAAAAATGCTGGGTTTGACACAATCGATTTGTGTTGGGACAACATGACAAAATTAAGCTAACCTATTAGTTTTTACAAATTCATATGGATTGAACATAAAACTACTATGTTGTCCCACAAAAAAACTCAAGAATAATATAGTTTCAGCTTATTTTAAATGCAGTAAACATACTTTTTTAAAGTTTGTACATATGTTTAAAGTGAAGCTATAATTACTATGGTAAATGTTTGGCAATAGACGGATGTCTGGGGACACTCACTCAGTATTGCTGGGTTGCTGAATCTCCAGGCTTCATTGTAGGTGGTGTACTGTGGATGGCTGTAGGGATTCCCTGAAAATTCGCTCCCTGAAACGCAACACACACACACGCATGCAGATTAAAATAATGCGCCAACACTTTTGCTGTAGCTTTGGGAGTTCATAAAACCTCAAAGTTGTGCAGAAAATGTCAAAATATTGACGATTCCCACATTGCCCTGCTGTATGTCCATCTATATTTTTCAAAGCTTCTATTCTCTGTTGTGGAAATTGATTGTGTGGGAATAAAGCGAGAGCGCTGTGCTGAACAATGTTGGTCCGCCGCTGTTTTTTCTTTTATGGCATAATAAAGAGGTGTTTTTATATGCGCTGGCTGAGGGATGTGCATTAAATCTCTCTCAGAAGCAGCGGCTTTGAAGAGAGCTGCTTCTTCAACTCTTATTACCTGCAGCTGCTAAAAATAATGCAAGATCGAACCACATTTTACCAGTTAGTTTGAGCTCGGTGGCCACAAAACGCCTGTTAGAGAAGTTCATTCTTTAGTCAATGGAGGTTTGATGGTGTAAAGTTAAAGGTTTCCTGCATTCACACTGTATGAACTTCTCCAGACTGCTGTAAAAACCACGGGACTTCTTTTATTGAGTCTGTAGATGGTTTGCTTGTAAATATAAGCGTAAAGAAGTTCGATTGTGTGTGTTTTTTATGTTAAAAATGCTTGCTTGTATTGTGGTTTAATATATATGTCATCATTTTTATTTATTTTATTTTTTGCAAGACAATGAAGGACTACTAAGAATAAAACAACTCAACAAAACAGGAGGTTCTGCATGCCTACAGCAGGGGTCCGTTCTTCGTACGTGGATTACTCAGTTAGCTGGATTTGGATATTGACGATTTGACACGATCCAGGATCGTTTCGTTCTTTAAAGCTGATCCGAGAGTTGTTGTCATGGCAACAGTTCTGCTAGGTCAAACCTGATCGGGAGCAGGTTCAATTCATATAAACAGGATTAGATCGGCTCAGTTCAAGCAAAGATAATAGAGAAAGTATGTACCGAATTCTGATATTTTCTTACAGTAGTAGTTTTATACACTTGGGAAAATGGTACATACTTTTAAACTATATATATATATATAAAGTTATAGTCATTAATAAAATAAATAAAGTTATACATATTAATAAAATGTATGGAACCTGCACCCTCGAAATGAAAATACAAAGACTTCCATCTGGTGCAAAGAGAAAACTTATTGATATGAACTTTTTAGATCGCTTTAGTACAAATTGTGTATAATAGAATTTTTTTTTTAAAGCAATAATACATTTATGCAGTCATAAACATGTTTTGATAGTTAATATGCTGGTGATTTGATGCTTCACAAAAGTTGCAGACGCCTTTACCAATATGAAAATGCTTTTGTAAACATCCAGTTATTCTTTACACCGATTAAAAAACGGCTACTATAATAAAGAAAATATTTTCTAAATGTAGAACTAAATACACTGATTTGCATTGAAATGCATGATGAATACTCTTGTCTTGACACATGAAAGAGTAAAGCCTGCAGGCCACAACAAATGTGGAAAGTTATTGCGTGTCATATTTAACAAACCGTTTACTGCTAATTTGATGTAATTTTGCTCACATGGATAATTAAATATTAATCAGATGATGTCATTACGCTGCTGTGCCGTCAGCCAATCATTGCATTGCTGATCAATATTTCGAGGATCGATAGATCTGTCCTTCACAACACACACAGCGATCTCAGATCAGTTCATCCAGACATTCTAATCTGATTCGCGAACTTGTTTGAAGAACCAAATTAGCGAGAGATCAGTTATCAAGATGAAAAGATCCAGGATCTGCCAAATAATCTTAGATCATTTAAGCGAGGTACGAAGAACGGACCCCTGGTCTAGCAGTAAACAAACACATGCAGAAACAATAAGATTAAATACATTCACATTTAGTCATTTAGCAGACTCTTTTGTCCAATGAAGAAGCATTCAGTGATTCAACAAGAAGAGGCAATACACACAACAAGTGCTAATTATATAAAGCAACTGTTTGTACTCAGAGAATTAAGCGCTAAATTAAGGAAGAATGTCTTTTCATAGAGAGAAGAGTGTTTCTACAGGTGGTTTGTTAAGCCCACTCACCTGTGCGATGCACACTTCATAAATGTGCAATGTTTTATTTGTTTTATAATGTCTGGTGCAAACCTGGTGCAAGTCTTGGTTAAAGTGTCAGAGAGATGAAAGAGTGCGTTTACTACAGGTGGTTTGTCAAGCCCACTCACTTGTGTGAGGCACACTCAGAACTGCATATTCATTCATTCCTTCATTTTCTTTTCAGCTGAATCCCTTTATTAATCTGGTGTTGCCACAGTGGAATGAACCGCCAAATTATCAAGCATATGTTTTATGTAGCGGATGCCCTTCCAGCTGCAACCCAGTACTGATAAACACCCATACACTCTCATTCACACACATACACTACGGACAATTTATCCCACCCAATTCCCCTATAGCGCATGTGTTTTGGACTGTGGGTGAAACCAGAGCACCTGGAGGAAACCTACGCCAACACTGGTAGAACATGCAAACTCCACACAGAAACGCCAACTGACCCAGCGACCTTCTTGCTGTGATTGTGCTACCTACTGTGCCACCGTGCTGCCCATTTCTTTTTACTAAATTAAAGATTATTGGTTACACTTCAAGGTCGCTGGTTTGATCCTCGGCTCAGTTGGCGTTTCTGTGTGGAGTTTGCATGTTCTCCCTGCGTTCACGTGGTTTCCTCCGGGTGCTCCGGTTTCCCCCACAGTCCAAAGACATGTGGTACTGGTGAATTGGGTAGGCTAAATTGTCCTTAGTGTATGAGTGTGTTTGAATGAGTGTTTGTGGATGTTGAGATGAGATAAAGCTGGAAGGGCATCCGCTACATAAAAACGTGCTGGATAAGTTGGCGGTTCATTCTGCTGTGGCGGCCCCAGATTAATAAATGGACTAAGCTAACAAGAAAATGAATGAATGAATAATTACACTTCTTTTGCAGCTATTTTAATGCATCTAATTAACGTAAATGTTTATCCTCTCATTGTGTTTTACAGTAAATGAGTATCTTAAAGGGACAGTTCACCCAAAACTGAAAATCCTGTCAACTTTTGCTCATCTTTGACTAGTTTCAAAACAGTTTTGTTTTTTATTTTAAACTTTTTGCAGAAATAATGATTTTATTCATAGCCTCAATTAGCAAAATTAGCTCTTAGATGTCACCATGTATGCCCAGTATATTCATTATTGGCCACACATTATTTTAATGAACAATTTGTGCTGGTAATTAACAACAAACTTTGACTTTTCTAAATAAAAATTTAAATAAAAAAACGATGGTAACTGGTTTTATCATGATGACCACTCAATTCCTTGGTGGTTGTTTAGAAAGTATTGTTAATATATGATGTCTTCTTTAGTGTTCAACAGAAGAAAGAAACTCATAATGGTTTGAAACCACTTGATGGAGAGTAAATAACGAGTAAGTGAAAAAAATAGGGTAAACTATTCTTTTTAGCAGCTGTGGGACAACAAAACTTCTTATTATTGTACATTTTATTTGCAGATACTCACCAGGAACCATTCCAGCCAGTGTGGATGTGGCATAGCTGCCCTGCCCTGTCGGAGGGACGTGAGGTGGATATCCAGGTAAGGTTGTGTTGGCCATATCTCGCCCTACAAACACACACACACACAAACACACACACACACACACACACACACACACACACACACACACACACACACACACACACACAAACACACCACACTTACTTTACTGTCCATCATCAATCAGCTCAGGACTGCATTTAAAACGTATTGCAGAAATATAGCAATATATATATATATATATATATATATATATATATATATATATATATATATATATATATATATATATATATATAAAATATATTATTTAAAAAAAAATTATATATATATATATATGCAGTTTGGAAATAAATCCTGGACATTGGATAAAAGCAGGGTTCTAAATTCTTGTTTTATTTTATTGACATGTTAAATGTAAAGGGTTTCACTGAAAATATTTTGGACATCTTTACTTTATAAATTAGAAAACACTCTTAAAGGTGCAGTAGGTGATCGTCTTCAGAAGCAGTTTTGGTTGTGCTGGTTCAAAGTCTCCTCGCAGTCTAATAGTAATGATTACAGTATTTGATCTAAATGTGTTTATATGTATTTTTATATTTTGGGTAAGGCATAAAACTAAAAAATGTTCATCCAATTAAATAGAGTCAGACCGACATCTCTCACAATTCCGATAAGTAGCCCAATCTGTCTGTCAGCAAATGCAGATTTGAACAACTGTGCAGACGTTTGTACACAGCTCCGCCGACCGCCGCATGTTCACGAGAGAGAGCATGCCCACGATTGATCAAAACCTGCTGAATCTAAACTTTTTAAAAACCTGAATCAATATTGGAGTTACCTTTGCACGCTGGAGAAAGGATGACAATGGCTTTCTCTTAGACCGATAATGTTCTGTTTTTACACTGTTTTAACTTCACGCAGAGCTGATGTAATGTTAGATGTTGATGTTACAAATGTGTTATATCTTGACAGAAGTGCTGTTCAGCCACTAAAATCTTCCGATGAAAGACTGATAAGACTATTTTCAGTTTCATAAGGTCCTCTTACAGCATCGATGATGTAGATTTTAATTAGTTTAATAACAAAACACAAGTAAATACCGCTACTCCGCATATTCTCTCCCTATATTGTTTACCTTGCAACTCTAAATATTCGCTCTGAAATCGCATGTCAGTTTGGCTTGCTATTTAAGGAGGGGTGGCTGTAGACGGCAGGGGAGGGACTGTGATTCAGAGATTTATGCGAAGCTGTTAGCATTGTGTAAGATCACCTACTGCACCTTTAAAATGCAGACACAAAACATTTTATTATGCCATTAGTAATAAAACATTATAAAAATTCACATAAACAAACCTCTTCATAAAGACATTCAGAATATCGATAGAAACATAACGATGAAGTTTAGTGTATATTTAAGAGCAGCTGAAGTCATTAAAAAAATTGTTTTGTGAAAAGGACCTCAGTTTGACTGAAATTTATTGACACAAAAAGCACAGTAAAATGTACACTAAATGTGTTTTCATTCAAAAAATTCCACTAGTTTAAAACAATTTTTAAAGTAGAAAATCGTAACTATTTATGAGTTATCTTTATATTATAAATATTTTTTCACGTGCAGCATGGTGGCTCAGTGGTTAGAGTCGTCACCTCACACCTGTTCTCCCCGTGTTGACGTGGGTTCCCTGCTCTGGTTTCCCCCACAATCTAAACGCTGAAGGTGAATTGACTAAACTAAATTGGCCGTAGTGTATGTGTGTGAATGAGTGTGTATGGGTGTTTCCCAGTACTTGGTTGCAGCTGGAAGGGCATCCGCTGTGTAAAACATTTGCTTGAAAAGTTGGTTGTTCATTCTGCTGTTGCAACCCTTAATGAATAAAGGGACTAAACGAAGGAAAATGAAGAAAATTTAAAATAATGCCAATTGGTCCCACTTTATATTAAGTGTCCTTAACCACTATGTACTTACATCAAAAAATAAATACAATGTACTTACTGTGTTCCTAATGTATTTGAGAACACTTGTGGTGCTCTTGAGTTGGGATAGGGGTTGGGTTATGGACAGGTTTGGTGGTATGGGTTGGTTTAAGGGTGGGTAAAGGTGTAAGGGATGGTCAACAGTATATTTAGATAATGTAATTACAGAAGTTAAGTACAGATGTAATTACATACAGGTATTTAATCAAGCATAAGTACACAGTAAATACATGTATTTACACAATAAGTACATTGTAACAAACTATAAGTACATATTAGTTAAGGCCACTTAATATAAAGTGGGACCTCACAATTTTCTACTTTTATTTAAGCAAGATTTAAAGATTTGAAGCTGATTTAAGCAAGTGGAAAAGAAATCTGCCAGAAAGCACCTCATGTCAAATTTATAGTGCTTTATCTACAGTTAAAGTCAGAATTATTACCCCCCTGTTTATTTTCCCCAATTTCTGTTTAACAGAGGGAAGATTTTTTTAAACACATTTCTAATCATAATAGCTAATAACTGATTTCTTTTCTAATAACTGATTTATTTTATCTTTGCCATGATGACGGTAAATAATATTAGGCTAGATATTCTTCAAGACACTTCTATACAGCTTAAAGTGACATTTAAAGGCTTAACTAGGTTAGTCAGGTTAACTAGGCAGGTTAGGGTAATTAGGCAAGTTATTGTATAATTATGGTTTGTTCTGTAGATGATTGAAAATATAGCTTAAAGGGGTTTATAATTTTGACCTTAAAATGTTTATTTATTTATTTTTTATTAAAAACTGCTTTTATTCTAGCCAAAATAAAACAAATAAGATTTTCTCTAGAAGAAATATTATATATATAATATTATCAGACATACTGTGAAAATTTGCTTTCTCGGTCATACATCATTTGGTAAAATATTTAAAAAATAAATAATGATTCAAAGGCGGTTTAATAATTCGGACTTTAACTGTATTTGTGCCTATAGATTTCAATGTACTGAGGTCTCATTCACAACATTAGTTTAGACTTCAGCTGCACTTTATATATAAACTAAACTTAATAGTTTTGTTCCTATTAAAATTCTGAATGTATTCATGGATTGGTTTATGTGTTGATACATTTTGTATAACATTTTATTCCTTCTTTTTACTGTGAAAGTATTTTAAATCTGACTGGTGCATGACATTTAATTAGCACTGAATTCAAGTTTGGTCCTGCAAAATTCTCTGTGACAGAAACGCTGCAACGTATTTTCCATAAAAAGCTAACGCTGTGTGTCAATGGATTTATTCTTGTCCTTTCGAGGTCAGAACAGAGAACAGATGTAAGCCTGGGTCAAAGTGAGCGGTTCATACTGGCCTCCGCGAAACACTCAATGTCTCTTATAGCAGTAAAAAGCTCCACATTCAGAGCAGTAATTGGGGCTGACGCTTGGCTGTCCTACCCAACAACATGAAGCCTGGACCCAGCCGAGCGCTGAAGCCTGACACCCCTCACAGACTAATGTTTTTGTTCAAGAAAAGGGGGGCTGGGAGCTTTTACTGGGGACGCTGGGGGGAAACTTGGCCACCAGTTCAATTCTAATGAGCAGGACCGTGTCCATCAAAGCCCAGTGTAATCCTGTGTGGACCAGTATGCTTTCCCAACAGACAGAAAAAACACACTAAACTGTGGAAGCTTCACTGAAAAAAGAAGTTTCTAGTCTAGATACCTACAAATCCTTCAACCAAGAAGCATTTTCTAGACAAGTAAAACAAGCATTGTTTAATTTTCAGAAATAATAAGTCAAAGTTAAACGTGAGTTTTCCTTATAAGCATATCTGCCAGAGGCTTAATAAAATAATCTGGTTCTCAATCTGAAATTTATTCATTCATTCATTTTTCTTCAGCTTCTCCTCTTTATTCATCAGGGGTCGCCACAGTGGAATGAACCGCCAACTTATCCAGCATATGTTTTACACAGCGGATGCCCTTTTGATTGCAACACAATATTGGGAAACACCCATACACACTCATACAGTAATATGGGGGAATCCAGAACACCCGGAAGAAACCCACGCCAACACAGGGAGAGCATGCAAACTCACAAGAAACACCAACCCAGCCTAAACTCGAACTAGCGACCTTCTTGCTGTAAGGCCAAAGTGCTAACCACTGATCCCCTGTGTCGCCCTCAGTCTGTACTAACACTTTAAAGTAAGGTTGTATTAATTAATGTTAGTTAATGCATCGGGATGTTAATAATAAATGTTGAACTATGATTAATAAATGCAAGTATATTTCATAATTACACAACAGTGCTGTAAAAATACTGATTGACTTAAACTTTTAAGCTTAATCAAATTATTTGAACTTACGTTATGTTAAACTGACTTAAAACAGCTTGTGTAACTCATAAAAATAAGTTGGAACATGATTAACTTAATAAGTTACAATTAACTAAAAACATATGTTGTCATGACCTATTGATCAGATATTTTTTTTGTTAACTAACATTACTAATGAAACCTTATTGTAATTTAAAGTGTGAGCATTTTATTTACCTCACTGACAGATTATTGTGCATATTTTTAGGAAAAACTCCCTTCATTTTTATTTATTATTTATTTATTTTTTATTTATTTTTATTTTATTTATTTTTATTTAGAAAATTAAATATTTTTTACTAGTCTATAGAAAATGCTTTTCGGTTTGAGAATTTGTAGATATTTGGACTAGATATGAGGCAAAAGGTTAGACAATCATTTTTTACAGTGCTGTTTCTGCTGTGACAAAACATATTTATAAATATATTTAGTTTAATATTTAATTAAATATATTTAATTTATGCACTGCAAAAAAATGTGTTTCTTGCTTAGATTTATTACTTGTTTCTAGTCTAAATATTTAAAAATTTCTTATATCAAGAAGCATTTTCTAGACAAGCAAAACATATCGTCTCGTTTTGAGAAATAATATGCCAATAATAAGTGAGTTTTTCCTTAAAACAAGCAAAATAATCTGCCAATGGGGTAAGCAATATAATCTTGATTTTTTTTCTTTTGATGTAAGATTATTTTGCTTATAGATATATGCAAATTTGTATATTTCTC